CTGAGCAGGTCTCGCTTGTCTCAAACAAGCCTACTGTTATATAACACAGACGTAACAAACACTTTCCCCTTTCTCCGGATACTAAACCATGGCATGAATAGGACAATAATGTAAGTTTATGTGTAACGGAATCTGAGTGTTTTCTGGCATTTATTCTGAGAACAATCACAAAAAGTCCTACTACGTTGCACATCTTTACAAAAGATAAGAAAAATCAGAAAGTGCCACTTAAACAAACAAAATGGCGCAGATCGCGTCTACTTCGCGCCAAAAACACACCATAAATATCACCCAAAATGCTATTTCTTACGGTGGAAACTAAACAAAAATGGGTTAATAATGTACCGAAATTGAAACTTAATAACATACATCACTTTCATCAACTTAAATAGCCGGTTTACCACACTAAATTGTAATAAACTGCTACACAATTCCTAGCACAACTCACCCTCCGCAGTGCTCCTTCAGTGTGAAGGGAAAGCGGAAATGACATACAGGAAGTAGAAAACGATGTGCAAGGGGAAAATGCTCCCACTGGAAACATCACTCACAAATATTAAAGGAAACAATCACATAAAGACAAAATTCACAACCTATTGTAAATCATAATTTAAAAACTAATAATTATTTATACACATTTTTAACTCCGTTACATATGCAGCTAATAAATAATAATAAACAAAACATGAAGTAAATAATAATAATTATATTTCTATAGCGCTTTTCTTGAACCCAAACACGATTTACATTTTGGAGTGAGGGTAGACAAACAAAACAAAAACAAAACAAAAAAAGAANCGAGGATCATAGCTGTGGGAACATGTTTCAAATGGGGGTTGCTGTGGGGATGACACCAGGGCCGGTTTTGACCACTTTGCTGCCCTAGGCACTAAAATCTTGCCTAGGGCAGCAAAGTGGTCAAAACCGGCCCTGGTGTCATCCCCACAGCAACCCCCATTTGAAACATGTTCCCACAGCTATGATCCTCGCGATTGAGAAACGGCCAAAGAGTCCTCAGGTATTAATTGGGATGTCCTCACACTCTCCACGGGCTGCGGAAGCGAAATGCTTGATGGGAAACGACTCGCTGGTATCTCGAGCTGAGCGCTCATTGGTGATTTTTACCCCGTGCTGGTGATGAAACTCTCCAATTGGCTGGGCAAAAGTTGTTCGTTGTTTTGTGTCAGTTTTACGTCGCCACTTCCATTCACATTTTTCATCACTGTTCCACAATGTTTATCATCATGAAATTAATATCTATATATGTTATACTATACTTGCACGGCTTACCGTTTTCATACTTTATATATCTTAGCATATTCATACACACTGTTCATACTGCTCACTGGCTGCTGTGTATATCTAGTGTATTCATACCCCTCACTGTTTATTCATCATTCGATTCATTCAATATTTTATTCTGTAGATTGTGTAGCCTACAGTACTTTGCACTTTACTGCTATTTGCACTCCTGGTTAGAAGCTAAACTGCATTTCGTTGTCTCAGTAGCCTATCTGTAATATGTGCAATAAAAATAAAGTTGAATCTAATCTTGAGCAGGAACAAATCTGTATTTACTTAGTAGGATACATATCTGACATTAACGATTAAACACATTTGTGCATTCTTTATAAATGCAAACTGGTCAAGACCACTGACGGAAGTAGTTTTGAAAAGTAATAAGTGGTTCTGTCTTTTACGTGTAGGATTCAACCCCCCTTGTATTGTTTTGTTTTAAAAATGAAGAGACACTTGAGTCATTCATTTTTAGTGATATAATGATTGTGGGATTTCTATTGCATCCACTTCATCTGCAACGAAGAACGCCAACGCAATTTCCGCCATTGCAAACCGAGTCAAGACGACTCATGTCAGAGGGTCACGGCTCGCCACTGTTGAAACCAGATGCAATACGCGTGAATAATATGATTTATTTTTGCGGATGACTTATGGTGGCATCTCTGGTCCTTCCAAATTGTAACTCTTTTATATATATTTTTATGTTGACAGATTAATAATGAGACAAATAATCAATTCAGCTATATGAGACTTTAAGGAGACATACTGTATTAGGGTTTCAAATGTGAAATAATACCTGTTTTAAGTTAAAACAAACAAAAATATTATTCTAACACCGTCTGCTTGAATATACCTCTGTTCACCTTCTCTTTAAAACACTTATTTTAGTCCGTCTCTTAAGTGTGTAAAATCCCAGTCTGTTTAAAGTTGTTTTCCATCTGTGCTTTAGTTGTGTCTGCACCACCATGGCCCATAGTCAGGAAATGATTGTAAAAGCTACTTCTACCTTTAATTTGTATAGTTGTGCATCACACAACCTAAGGGAAGTTGTGACGGCTCCTTTAAGGCAGTTTCTGAAAACTGGCGATCTTTTGAGATGAATTGAATCTCGAGGCTGTTTTGTGGGAATGCAAATATGTTTTAGAGTGGGCTGAAGTAGTGCTGGGCGGGATACCGTTTCATACCGAATACCGGGAACGTTATACTGTATGATATAGCCTACATTTTTCATATACCGCAAAACCGTTGAGTGGCGCTCGAGTGGTGCAGCAGTGAAAGGAATCATCCCCTTCGCAGTAGCATCAACTGTGAAGCTGAATTTAAAAATGGACACTGAAGAAAATGAGACTGCAAATGGAGATATAGGACACACAAGAATAACTTGTGCCGAGAAAAGGAGCTGTGTCTGTTGTTTTTTGGATTTGCAAAATCTGACGTGGACCACACAAACATTTATTTCAAATGTTGTCAAACAAAACATTTTTCCAGAAGAGTAAACACAAGTAATTTATTCCACCACCTCAACAGAAAGCACTTATTGGAGTACCAAGAATGAAAGAAAATACGATCTGCTTCAACAAGCAACGCTGGTGAAATGTCTAAAGTAAAGACAAGTCAAGCGTCACTTGAAAACGCATTTGTTCCAGGGACTGCCGATGATAGGAAAAAAATATCAATGTAAATACATACAATAAATAAATACCGTGATACCGTTATGAAAAATACCGTGATATGAATTTTTTGTCATAACAGCCAGCCCTAGGTTGAAGGCTGAAACACAGTATAGCTCACCACACACAGGACAGACACATTCTTTATTTCATATTTCTATTCAGGAAGCCATCACATGACAATCCATTCATTTGCAACCAAAACAAAATGTTAAACAAATGCCACATTCCTTCACACAGCTCTACATAGGCGCTTGTGCAGTCTACATCATTTAACTCACTAATGGGGTGAACTCACTGCTCCCTGGGTGATACAGATGATACATTCACTTCATCAGTGCAGTGTAGACATTCAAACCATGTTAATGATGGAATGGTGTCAGGGACATGTGCTGTGTGAGTGAGGCAGAAGCCGATCAGTCGAGGAACACAGAGTTGTTATCAGTCCCAGGCCTTTTCCCACAACTCTGTGTTAGAGACGTCCACCTGAGGGCGCTGTAACAGAGGACAATTGAACACAGCACACAGTTAAAGCTTGTGAGCTTAGCCAGGAACACAGTCACACTTCTATGCAGGCAGGGGCGGACTGGGACTAAAAATCAGCCCGGGAAACTCGACCGGCCGACCGGCCCACTTCGGTAAATGCCCACCGGGAAAACTCCCGGTATTCCCAATGGCCATTCCGCCCCTGTATGCAGGGATAGATTATCTGCATGCAAAGAATGAGTGAAGGCAACAAAAAAAACACTGCAACATCAAGAACGTGTTAGAATTACAACTGTTAAGTTTTCAAATTGTTTTTCAACTGTTCAAGATAAGAGAGTTGTTGGCAGAAAACACACAAGATTATGATTACATCTCACAACCCATTTTACAAATTACAATTGTGTATTTTCAGATGTCTGCTTTAAACCAGTTTAGAAAGAAGGATTATGCGGCCGCTGACACAGTCAATTCCAATGTTAATAAAAGCATACAGAAGCTGTATATACGTTTTTTGGGAGTTTGATTTATTTTAAATTAACACAAATACAACATTAAAACCTATAATTGCACACTAAAACCATTATTTCAAAAAAAGAACTATTTCACATAAACCTCTGGTTTTTACTGGGGCTGGGGCAGTTCAACTTGATTTTGGGGGGGGGGTGCACCATAGTTTATGGGCGCTGTACGCAATATAGGCGTAGTTCTGTAAGTATAAGATAATAAGATGTACTTTGTTGATCCAAAATCGGGAACATGTTTTTTTAATTTCTAACTTTTTTCTTTCTTTTTTTTTCTCCCCAATATTCGGCGCCCCCGATGGGTTGATGCACCCTTAGCATTCGCCTATACTGCCTATGCCAAGGGCTGGCTCTTGCCGAAGTGAGCATACCATCAACAAATGATGGATAAAACTCACTTCCCAAAACCTTATTTTCACCTGTTTTCCCTATGTTACAGATTAAAAAAGAAAAAATAGGGAGATCATCCTAGCTATACATTTCATATACATAATTGGAAACACAGGAAGGAAAAAAATATGGCCATTTAGATCAGACTTATTTTTTTATCAGGCTTATTCTCATTTCCCTCAATGGCATCTCAGGGCTTCCGTACATGACAATATATAAGATAACCTGATTGCAACAGAATGTCGTTTATCACTATATCACAGTATCCATCACTCTAGGGTTTGAGTTTCCCCCAGCTCCCAAGTTGCAGCCTTAAGTCTTCTCTTAACTAGAAGAACACATCATGCAAGGTACAAAACTAAACACAGCTCCTGAAGCCTCCCACCTCCTCACTGGTAGAACTTGATCTCTGTGTCCACAGAGTCGAAAAACAAGTCCCCCAGTTCTTCTCCTGGGATCTCTCCGTTCAGCATGGCGGAGATATCGGTCAGACACTGCGACTCCAGGTCCCTCAGAATCTCATAGACAGCTAAACCCTCATCCTGACATGGAGAGAAGAAGACAGAGTGGTGTCACAACACCAGTAACACCAGAATTTGCGTATGCTTGAACCCGGAGTAATTTTACTTAATCCTAAACTATGGCAAAGCCCCTCTTTGTAACATCACATGTATAATGCAGATCTCACTCTTGGATTTTCCAAAGCAACCAGGCATCTGAGACACCGATTTAATGACAGCATTCATAGCTCTCCAGCTATCACACACCTTCAGTTCCTCTAAAGGCTAATCTGCATGTCTACATTCTTAAATTGCTCTCCTAACAACAGGCAATAGTTGTGTTTTCATTCCATGCTACGTGAGCAAATGAATTCTCGGAGTATATTGTTATGACAGTTAGTTTAAGAAATCTCTGTACAAACAGGGAACGATTAAGTACTTGTACTTAAATACATTAGCAAATGTTGAAAAGCCACAGCCATTCAATCTTAATTTAAAGAGAGCAAATAATTACTTTTACATTTATATTTGGAGTTCGTCGAAAAAAAGTCTATCTTGATTTGCGATTGTTTTCTTAGACTACTGTTTCCAAGGTAAATAACCAACATTTATTTGAACTTTGAAGTACAGAGATACTGTACCAAGTTCCAATAAGTGCTTTGGAGGAAATCAGTACAGCTACTAAGTTTGTATGTCAATAAATCCTAACCAAAGAAAGTAGAAAGAAAGAAACGCTGATGAATACTGTGTGATTAAATGTACAATCCCCAATAAAAGCTAGAAAATCGACTTCAAATTGGGAAACTGCTTTTGTTTACGGTCAACAACCACATTTATATGTAAGATCACTTGATAATTGAAAATGACGCTTGTGTAAATAATTAACATAGGAAATCTTGAGAAAAGGCCAAAACTTTTTGTTAAGTCGCAGTTAGGATAAGTCGTTCGGCATATTCAAACTAATGAACACATGCTATCAAATCCTGATAATAATATATAATGTGATCTTCCAGCTGTGCCCTGATCTGCACAGGGCTATAGTTGACCTAGGTCGTCCATCAGTGCCCACCGGGTTGGTCTCCATGGTGCTGAGCGCCACCTGGTGGGCCTTGTACAGCTCGTGTCTGCGGTCCACCTGGCTCTGAAAGCGGGGCTGCTTCCTGACAGGATCGTCTGGGCCAAACTGCGGGGAGACCACCCCCAGCACTGAGGTGGAACAGTCCGAGAAGACAAAAGGCTTGAATATAGACCTACCAGGGTTAGGGTTGGGGTGGGGGGGGATTCATAGAGAGAAAGACAGGAAAGAAAGAAAGGCAGACTCAGAAACTCCCATCAGCCCAAAGTGGAGACAGAATGGAAGAAGGGCAAAGATGAGGAGACAAAGAGCCATTGTGTCCCAACACCTTCATCTGTCAGCTTTTCAAATGACATTCCAATGACATTTGAATACATTACATTAAATTGCATTTAGCTGACGCTTTTATCCAAAGCGGCTTACAATAAGTGCGTTCGACCAACAAAATACAAACTTGAAGAAAACAGAATCATATAAGTACATCAGGTTTCATAGAGCTAAAACATTTCAAGTGCTACTCAACTGGCTTTAGATAAGCCAGTCCTTTATTAGTATACAAGTGTTTTGTTAATAGTTCTATCGCTCGAAGTGGAGTCGAAAGAGATGAGTTTTCAGTCTGCGCCGGAAGATGTGTAAGCCTTCTGCTGTCCTGATGTCAATGGGGAGCTCATTCCACCATTTTGGAGCCAGGATAGCAAACCCACGTGTTTTTGCTGATGGGAACTTGGGTCCCCCTCGCAGTGCGGGTGCAGCGAGCTGTTTGGCTGATGCAGAGCGGAGTGCACATGCTGGGGTGTACGGTTTAACCATGTCCTGGATGTAGGAAGGGCCAGATCCATTCACAGCATGGTACGCAAGTACCATTGTCTTGAAGTGGATTCTAGCAGTTACCGGAAGCCAGTGAAGGGAGCGGAGGAGCGGCGTGGTGTGGGAGAA